TGTGCAGTTAAACATGTAAGGTTTTTCTTTAGGAGGTGGGGGCTGTGAGACAAGGACTAGTTAAGCACCCCAGGCTGGTATGGAACGCATGGTGATCCTCCTGCTTCCTCTCTTCCAGTGCTGGGTTTTCAGGCCTATACCACCAGGCCAGATGAACAATTTTAATTATCAAACACTGTTTTGCCCCCCGCCCCCGCAGTGTACTTCTGTACATTTATATAGTGTGTAGTGATGAGATCACGTATACCACCAGGCCAGATGAACAATTTTAATTATCAAACACTGTTTTGCCCCTCCCCCCACAGTGTACTTCAGTACATTTATATAGTGTGTAGTGATGAGATCACAGTAATGAGTATGGCCCTGCAAGCATTTATCTTTCCTTTTATTGGAAACATTTAAAATCTTTTCCACTAACTTTTTTTTTTTGTCTTGAGATAGGGTCTCCCTGTAGCCCCAGCTGACCTGGAACTGTGTAGACCAGGCTGGCTTCCAACGCACAGAGATCTGCCTCTGCCTCCCGAGTGCTGAAGTTAAAGGCTTGAGCCACCACACCCTGCTCACCTTTTTCTTCTTTTCTTTTTTTTCTTTCTTTTTTGGTCTTTTTGAGTCAGGGTCTCCCTGTAGCCCCAGCTAGCCTGGAACTCACTATGTAGACCAGGCTGGACTTGAATCCCTGCCTCTGCCTCTGTCTCCCAAGTGCTGGGACTAAAGGCGTGTGCCACTATGCCTTGCTAACCTTTTTCTTTTTAATGAACATAGATGGAGTTAATTAGGGAAACAATTTACTATAGATTTAAGCACTGGGTTCTGTTAACCATTTCATTAATGTTTGGTTTTTTGAGACCCAAGTTTCATGTGAACCTCCTGTTTTTGCTACCATGCACGGCACACATGGTATTTTTGATTTATTAATACCTTTGCTTCTGAACCTTGCATGGTCACGCAAGCTAGAAGTCCCAGCACCTGGGAGATGGAGGCAGGAGGGTTGCCCATGAGCTGCATGGCAACCTGGACTGTCTAGTGAGTTCCAGGCCAGCTATGTTTACATAGCAAGACCACGTTTCAAGAAAGCATCAATCAAATCTGACCTCCCTTCCTCCAATCCCTAAAGCAGGTTGGCTCACTGCTTGCTTTCTCCTTCCATCCTGAAACAGGGGCTTATTCTGTAGCCCAGGCTGGCCTGAAACTCACTGCAGTTTCTTGCCGTGGCCTACTGATGTATGTGCTGTGGCTCTAGCAGCTTAGGCCACGTTGCCTGGCTTCTTTCTTTTTTTAAAAAACCTTTTTTTTTTTTTTTTTTTTTTTAAATAAGAGGACTTTGAAAACTATTTAGAGCCTTTTCTTCTTCACCAGAAATGATTTTTTAGGAGATGGAGAAAAAAAGGCTGTGTAGAATTTGTCATCGATTCTGAGTAGAGACAGCTATCAGAGCACTTCACTTTGTGGGAAATAATGGTGGCTGTTACGTGGTGAGACAGTAAGCAGCACGCAGGTGTGAATACTTGGTGAACTCATTTTAAGATACCTCTGGAGTTTACATCACAGTGGATTTGAGTTGTGTTACTCTGCTTCCATACGGAAACTGCAGCTCACCTTAGCTGAGCCACGAAACAGCCGCCTGACTTTGAAGTGAATGGATTTACAGCTGTGTGCAGGTCTGTCATTAGTGTGTGCATTTTGTAGCACCTGGCGTTACCAACCAGAAATGAAGTTCAGATTCCTATCTTACTGTGTCTCCATAGCGTACCACTGCTTCTTTACTAAGACTGTGGAGCAGAGTCTGAGGACTATTTTACAAATCTGGAGTGAGGACAGGACCCTCTAGATAAATAAGACCCCTTTGTTATGTTTGCGAAATATTTTAGCAGTTTGCTTCCAGATCACCTTCCATCAGTTTTCTCAGTTCTGGGGCTCAAACTCAGGGCCAACGGCACGTTAGGCTAGCAGTACCACCGAGCCGCAGACGCAAACTTCTTTTTCTTTATTATTATTTTTATTTATTTATTTTTTTCGGAGCTGAGGCCCGGACCCCTAGCATTTGCTAGGCAACCGCTCTACCACTGACCTAAGTCCCCAACCCCTTTCTTTTCTTTTCTTTTCTTTTCTTTTTTTTCATTTTATTTTATTTTTTGGTCTTTTGGAGACAGGGTCTCCCTATAGCTCCAGCTGTCCTGGAACTCACCATGTAGGCCAGGCTGGCCTTGAACTCAGAGATCCGCCTGCCTCTGCCTCCCGAGTGCTGGGATTAAAGGCATGAGACACCACGCCTGGCCCCTCTTCTTTATTTTTATTTTTGTGTATGTATGAATATATTGTCTGCATGTGCACCCATGTTGTGCAATTCCCGTGGAGGTCAGAAGAAGACGTTAGATCTCCTGGAATTGGAGTTACAGACAGTTATAGGCTGCCATGTGGGGGCTGGAAACTGAACCTGTCTCCTTTGCAAGACCAGCCAGTGCTCCTAGCCGCTGAGCCATCTCTCTAGTCCCAAACTCAAACTTCTGTACCGTAAACGTTTTTGCATGATTCTCTGCTTGCCTAACTTTCCTTAGGTCCTAGAAGCCCACAAAGAAAAGACTGTATTTGACAGTCCAGAATCACACAGGTACTAACTTGTGCTTGTTTTGCTGAATCTTAGAGAAGAGCTATGTGGAAGTGAACAGGAAATGCTGATAGGGAAGCTGCCCAGTTACACATGGAGAGAAATCCTGGAGGTGCATCAAGTAGGAGGAAGGTTGGAAGATATGCTATGTAGAGCCAATCACTATTAAATACAAATAGTTATGAATACATTGAGATTTTGGTTTGAAAACTGCTTAGAAGTTCATTGTTGTGGACTGGTAGGCTTATCGTAATGTGTTTGAATAGGTAGACTGGGACTGAATTATAAACTTGGTGGAGAATTGGACTTAGTTGTATTGGGTGGAAGTAGTTATTTAGCAAGGACATGACACAGTCACGTTTGATTTTAGGACCATAGCTCTAGAAACCCCTTACAGAGTGATTTTTAAAGAAACTGATGTTAAAGTTATTTGGAGTGTTTGACCAAGTGGTCATTGTGGCACTGGACACAGAGGAAAGAATTTGATCCTGGAGTTACTTGAGTTGAAATGGACAGGCCGGTTGGAGAGGGAGAATGAGGGAGAGAGGGTAAGGATGAGATTCTTGGTAGTAGGTGTGGTGGGGCATTAAAAATACTGACGCGATAGGTTGTTGGAGGACATGGGTGTAGATTGAGGACAAGCAAAGAAAGTAGAAAACATTTTGTGTGCTCATGTCAGGGAATTTCTGAGTTCTTTTGATACATTTTGGGTTTTTTTTTTTTTTGGTCTTTTTGAGACATGGTCTCTCTGTAGCCCCAGCTGTCCTGGAACTCACTATGTGGACCAGGCTGGCTTTGACCTCACAGAGATCCGCCTGCCTCTACCTCCCAAGTGCTGGGATTAAAGGCGTGCACCACCATGCCCAGCTTTTTTTCTTTTTCTTTTTTTTTAAAAACTGTAGTTACATAAACCTATAAATCAGGTATGAGCAACTCTACTTAATAGAAGATAATAACTCAGAGGTCGAATGGTTTTCTTTAGTCAAATATTAAGAAAAATGGGTAATGCCCCCTTTTCTTTTGTCCTTTTGTGACAGGGTCTTCCTGTAGCCCCAGCTGACCTGGACCTCACTATGTAGACCAGGCTGGCGTGGAACTCACAGAGATCCACCTGCCTCTGCCTTCCGAGTGCTGGGACTAAAGGCGTGTGCCATCATGCCTGGCTAAGAAAAATGGGTAATAGTTTTTATAATATTTTCCAGGTTTTTTTGAGATAGGGTCTCATGTAGCCCAGGTTGGCCAACCTTTATGTTTCCAGGGGTGACCTCCAACTCCTGGTCCTCTTACCTCTACCTCCCAAGTGCTGAGACAAGCTCTCTGTCCCCCAATCCAGCTTGTAAATTCTGGATGTATAAGTAGAGTTTCTTATACTTGTTTTGGCCCACTGACCATGTCAAAAATGGGGGAAAAAAAAAAGGCTGGAGAGATGGCTCAGCAGTTAACACTGGTGGTTCTTGCAGAAGACCCGGGTTCGAATCCCAGCAACCACATGGCAGCTAACTGTCCGTAACTCCAGTCCCAGGGGATCCGACAGCCTCTTCTGACCTCTGTGGGCATTGCATGACATGGGTGCACCTACCTACATGCTGGCAATACACTCATACACATAAAATAAAAATAATGAATAAGCTGGGCGTGGTGGCGCACGCCTTTAGTCCCAGCATTCGGGAGGCAGAGGCAGGCGGATCACTTTGAGTTCACAGCCAGCCTGGTTTACATAGTGAGTTCAGGTCAGCTGGGACTACAGGGAGCCTGTCTCAAAAGACAACAACAAAATAATTAAAAATAATTTTTTTAAAAATTAAAAACTTTTTTCTTTTTCAGCCACCCACAGACTAATCTGCACAATGGCTGACAGCAGTGTTTTAGCCACTGCTACCGGGACGGCTAGCTTGGTGGACTCTTCCATTTTTGATTCTAAAGTCACTGAAACGTCCAAGGAAAACTTGTGTACAGAATCTACTTCATATGTTGATGGTAAACCCATTTTACCTGCTTTAAAAACACTGAATTGTTATTTTAATCCTCAATTACTGACTGCCTAGTTTTTGTTTGTGATTTAACTGGGATAACAGTTGTTAAGTTAGAACACACATGTTGAGTGACTGTACTGCTGTGTAGATTTTCGGTTCCTCATCTGGGTTGATGCTTCTTCCTAGCCTTGACAAAAGGCGGCATTGGTACTGCTTTTCCTCACTGAGGCAGTCTACCAATAAAATTGTTCTGCTAAACTTTATTCATGGGTGGTTAAGTGAAGAGCCACCTCTTAGCAGCTTGTAGGTTGTCCTTCCTCACGTTTCGTGTGTTTTGAAGCAACGCCCTGCTTCTTTGGAGAGAATGCTGCTTTGCTGCTGTCTGTGCACCTTGTACAGTATGCCTTCTCCTTTCTAAAGGGACACACGCTTAACATGTTTTTGTAGCAAGTTAGGAATTAGATTATTTTAACTTTGGAGACTGTTCTGCGCTCCTCAGAGATAGAAGGCTTACCAGATCAGAGCCCAGAGAAGGCCTTGGGAAGATGGCTTGTGCTCTTACACTACCTTGTAACCATGTGAAACATTTTGCATTTTAACAGAAGAAATGCCTCAGGTTCAGACACGAGTGGTACTGGTTCAAGAAGCTGGGAGCCGAGAAGAGCTGCTGAAGGCCGCAAAGGTGTGGAGTTTGGGTTTACACTTCATTTCTCAAAGATTTTTCTTCCATCTGTGTGCAAATTCTTTCATATCCTTCTTAATCTTATACTAAAGTCTCTTTTCCACAGACTGTTAAAATAATGGAAGTCCCTGTTATAAAGATAAAAGAAAGTTGTCCTGGAAAATCGGATGAAAAATTAATAAAAAGTGTTATTACTCTGGTAGGTCAAGCTCTGGGCGCATGTGGCATGTTTCACTTCTCTCCACTGAGCTCTCCACTGGGATTGGAATCAGGCGTGAGGTGTATTTTTGTGTACGCTGAATTACACGAATAGAAATGGCATTATATTAATGAACTGGGCTATTGTTGAAACCCCAAACTATAGCATCTGTTATAAATCCAAATTTAGGGACTTGGTGGTAATTTAAATTCTCCAGTTCTTTTTCTCATTAACTTTATGTTTGGCTTAAATTCTTGCTGTTTTTCTAAAATTGTAAATAGCTAAGCAATGATCATCAATTGCTTTGCCTCAGTACACGTGACATAATGTTCTCTGGTCCAGCTCCATAGTTACTGCCCATCAGCTGTTATCTATTTTAGCAGACTGAGCCCAGGGCCTTGTGCATGCTAGGCAAGCATCCCACAGAGCTGCAGCTCTGGCCTTCAGCTATATTAGTTTTCTAGGGCTGTTAAAACAAAATAGCACATCCTGGGTAGCTTAAACAACAGAAACTAATTTTCTCAGTTTTGGAAGCTCGTCTGGAATCAGTGCCAGGTGGATCCTCCTGAGGCCTCGTGCAGATACAGGGCGTCTGTTTGGCCTCCCTGCACGGCCTTTTTTAGGTGTAGCATATCTCTGCTGTTTATTTTGTATGTTCAGATTCCTTATGAGAATCCCAGTCGGATTGGATCAGGGCCCACGCAGAAGACCTTACCTGACATCAATTACCGCCTTGTCATCCCTCTTTGGGTGTAGTCACTTGGTGAGATAAGGCTTCCTTTTCCATTGTGGGTCAGGGCTTCCACATACAGATTCCAGGGCAAGTGATGTGGCCTGTCATTCCCGTCTTGCAAATTAAAGGCCAGATAATTTGTTGATCGAACGTTCAGAAATCTTTTTCTGTTCTTCTTGCACAGGGATTATATAAGCTCTGAAGTATGTTCGTTTTTTGCAGAGTATTGAAGTACCTGCCTTTGTGTATTCCATATCTGCAATGTGCAGCCTCCTACATAAGTCACATCTTTCTACTGCAGATATTGAAATGAATATGTTAACCTGTAACATTTTATTAAGTACTGTACTCATTTTTTTTTCTTATTTTTCTGAAGATTCTCTGTTGTTCTTTTGGTTAGAATGTAAAGAAATGTTGGATATATTCCTAATGCATTCTATGGAAATACATGTACTTAAAACCACTTTCAAGCTGTGCATGGTGGTACATATACTTAACTGCAGCAGAGGCAGGCAGTTCTAGGCCAGCCTGGTCTACATAGCAAGTTCCAGGCTAGCCAGGGCTACATATAGTGAGATCATGTCTCAAAAAAAAAAAAAAAAAGAAAAGAAAAGAAAAAAATAATCAGACTGGGCATCGTGACTCATGCACTCAGCAGACTGAGGCAGGTGGATTACTGAGGGTTCAAGGTTATATTGGACTAGATAGGTCAAAAGTGGCCTGGGTTGCATCGTGAGACCTTGTCTTTAAGAAACCCAAAACCAAATAACAAATGGCTTGGAGCTGTAGCTCAGTGGTAGAGTGCTTGCTTAACTTCTGCACAGCCCTAGTTTCAATCCCCAGTACTGCTCCAAACCAACCAAAACAACAACCATCAGTAACAGAAAACATTTCTGCTTTTTCTAGGTGGTTGATGACTACTGTGTAGTAAAACCAAAGCTTATGCCTTTGATCTTTAAGGTCTTAATGTGGACGGGGATATGTGTGTGTAAAAATCCAAGTAAATAGTGAGATGTGGGTTTTTCACTGTTATGTGTTATATTGACACAGCCCTAGTTTCAATCCCCAGTACTGCTCCAAACCAACCAAAACAACAACCATCAGTAACAGAAAACATTTCTGCTTTTTCTAGGTGGTTGATGACTACTGTGTAGTAAAACCAAAGCTTATGCCTTTGATCTTTAAGGTCTTAATGTGGACGGGGATATGTGTGTGTAAAAATCCAAGTAAATAGTGAGATGTGGGTTTTTATTGTATGATTTTAATACTTAAATTTTCTGCAAATCTTAAAGATGTCAAAAATGTTGATATTGAAATGATTTTTAGAGTGTCACGAATTAATTTATATGGTTTAGGAATGACTTTTATTTCTAATAACCATACGGAAAAAAAATATAGGAAATTAAAGCGCCGTGTGTCAAGATGGACTCAATGGAAGAATTTGGAGGTTTGGATTCCCCAGAATTTGAGAACGTGTTTGTAGTCATGGACTTCCAGGACCCTATCTTTGATGACTTATACAAGGCTGACTGTAGAATCATCGGACCACCAGTTCTGCTCAACTGTGCACGAATGGGAGAGGTAAGTAATGTACATTTTTATGACTTTTGAAGATTAAACTTCTGCTAGTGAATTTTATGAAAATTGTTAATTATAAAACCTGTTAATTGTTGAACGTATGCAACACCTAGAAGTGGGCTAATTTGACAGTTGCAGGGCACGGTGTAATTCTAGCACTTGGAAGGTGAGAACATGAGGCTCTGGGTCACATTCGTTCTGGGCTAGCCTGGACTTCATGAGAGATGCCGTCTCCCAAAGGGGGAAAAGGTAATTAAGAGTGGCTCTTCTAAATGGATTCCTTCAGTCTTTGCATTATTTTTACATATATGTGTACCTATGTGAGTATGAGCACCATGTACATGCAAGAGCATGTGGAGACCAGATGAGGCTATCAGGTCAGATCCCCCGAAATTGGAGCTACAAGTGGTTGTGAGCTGTCACGTGGGTGCTGGCAGCCGAAGCCAGGGCGGCAGGTGGTGGTTCTCTCCCCGCAACCTTTAAATATTTTTAGTAGTGAAAACCCAAGGGCTTTGAAAGCTGAACAGTGAGGCGTGTGTGTGCATGTATCAGAAGACAACTTGTGGGAGTCGGTTCTCTTCCACAGTGTGGGTTCCTGGACTCAAATTCAGATCAGGCTTGGCAGGAAACCCCTTTACCTACTGAGACATCTTGCCTTGCCTGTGTTTTTGAGATCGTCTTATATAGCCCAGGCTGATCTTGAACTTGGTACATAGCCAAGGATGACCCTGAGCTTCTAATCCTCCTGTCTCTACCTCTGAGTGTTAGAATTACAATCTTTGTTTTAAATAGCATTCCAGTAAAAGAATTATAATATACTTCCTATTTGATTTGTTGGTTTTTGTCATTCTTTTTTTAATATTTTATTTTTTTATGTGTATGAGTGTATTGTCTGCATGTATGTAAGCGTACCCATGTTGTGTAATGCCCTTGGTGGTCAGAAGAGAGCATTGAATCCCCTGGGACTGGAGTTATGGAAGGTTGTTAGCTACCATGTGGTTGGTGGGAATCAAACCCTGGTCTTCTGCAGAGCACCTAGTGCTCTGAACTGCTGATCCATCTCTCCAACCCCTAAATTAATACTTTTTAAGCCGTTCTCAGGCTCTCTGGTACACACACACACAGACACACACAGGAATATTGAATGAACTATTTACTGAGAAATATTTAGGGAGTTGGGAACTCATTTATATAGTCTAGAAATTAGGGTGTCCTGTTTAAAAGATGGACTCAGTGGGAGAATTTGAGGAGTGGATGCCCCAGAATTTGAGATTTGTCATATGGACTCCATTCTATATGGAGTCCATGATCGCAAATAATCTCCATGTTTTAAAGTTGGGAATATTTGGTTAAAGCATGTGTGTTATATTTGCCTAATGTTTACTATAAAAATGCCTTTGAGCTGTTTATTATTTTTGGAACAGTATTTTTTTTGGGTGCGTATGTGTGAATGCATGCCATTGCACATGTGTGCCATGTGCATGTGTGGATGTCAGTGGACAACTTGTAGGAGTCAGTTTTTCCTCTACCATGTGGGTCCTGGGGATCAAACTCAGGTCCTCAGGCTTGGCAGCAGGTAGCTTTTATCAGCTGAGCCATCTCACTGAGCAACCTTGATAGTTTTGTCAGGAATTGGAAGTATTTATAGTCTGAAATATGAATATAAACAATATTTCATTCATGTAAATACATTTTGAATAAAAATTTGTAATTTTCTATTTGGAATTTTTTTTCTTTTTCTTTTCTTTTTTGGTCTTTTTGAGACAGGGTCTCCCTGTAGCCCCAGCTGTCCTGAACTCTCTATGTAGACCACGCTGGCCTTGAACTCATAGAGATCCGCCTGCCTCTGCCTCCCAAGTGCTGGGATTAAAGGCGTGCGCCACCAGTTGTATTTATATGAATCAAATAAGGTTTGGGAATCTAGGAAGCTTTGTATTTTAATTTTGAGATAGGGTCTTCCTGTGTGGTGGGCCTTGAACTCATGGTCTTCCTCTTTCTGAATGCTGGGATTGTGTGCCTGCACCACTCACTTGAGTCAGAAATATTTTATTGTGGACTTTACAGTCAGACTCTTTTGCCTTTTTTTTCTTTTTTTTTTTTCCTGCATGTTGGAAAATACAAGTAAATCTTGGTTATCGAGAGTTCATTGGCAAGAAGAAAAATGTTTGAGAAAAATGTGTTCTTGATCCTACTAAGAAAAAGGTTCACAGGTTTAAACTTGTGCCCCGCAGCCCGTGCCGTTCTCGTGCCGCCCGCTGTACTGTGCAAGCATGGTGGGCCTGGTGCTATGCTTCACCGGCTTCAGGAGGAAGGAGGAGCTGGTGAGTGCCACGGACGCCCCGGCTAAAGAAACCCAAATTGGCGTTTAGTTTTTTGTTTTGTATCATGATTTTATCTAAGAAATCTGGGGAAAGCACTATGACTGTGTCACCTTTTAAATTCTGTGAAGAAACAACTCGAATGTTCTGTCTGTGATGGCTTCCATGTGAAGTAACTATCTGAACTGTTTGTTGTGGTAGTTATTGGCTACATTCTTTTTTAAATTTTATTTCGTGTATGAGTGCCTGCGTGTGTATAAGTGCACCTATGTTGTGCAGTGCCCACTGAGGTCGGAAGAGGCCTTGGATCCCCTGAAATTGGAGTTAGGGACAGTTGTTAGCTGCCACGTGGGTGCTGGGAGCCGAACCCAGGTTCTCAGCAAGAACAGTCAGTGCTCTTAACTGCTGAGCCATCTCCAGCTCCTTGGCTACATTCTTTATTTGAAGTTTTGTTATACAATATTTTATTTTGTTATACAAGTCCAGAGTTAAAGTAGTCTTCCTGCCTTAGAGAAGTCATAGCAACTTTTTCTTTTGGCTTATTAGAATTAACAAACATTACTGTAATTGTGTGGGGAGAATATTGATGTGCTATAACCTGATGTTAAAAAAGCAATATATTTGGTGCTGGAGAGATGCACGGTGGTTATGAGCACTTGCTGCTCTTCAGGGAGCCAGAGTTCAATTCCTAGCACCCTGGTCAGGTGCTTACAGCTGGATAAGACTCCCAACTCCACAGGCTCTGGCACCTCTTCTGGTCTCTGTGCTACCTGCTCTCTCATACTCACAGGCACATCGATAAAATATAAACCTGTCCCCGCTCTTTTTTAAAGACAAGGTCTTGAGATGTTATCTATGGCTGGCCTGTAATGTACTGTGTACACCAGGCTGGCCTCGAGCTCACTTCTTCTGAGTGCTGAGTTTAAAGATGTGCCATTAGGCTTGGCACAAAGTAGATCCTTTTAAAGCAATCAGTATATTTTGTTTGGGGTTATAAGGTCTTGGTTTCAATGTTCAATATTGCAAATAATATCAAATCAATATGTTTAGGTAGTGTTAAATCTAATTGTTTATTAACTATATAAAGCTAATTGTTTTTTTTTTTTTTTTTTTTTTTTGGTCTTTTTGAGTCATCGTCTCTCTTTAGCCCCAGCTGTCCTGGAACTCACTATGTAGACCAGGCTGGCCTTGAACTCACAGAGATCCACCTGCCTCTGCCTCCTGAGTGCTGGGACTAAAGGCTTGTGTGTGGCCACGCCCACCTGTTAACAATATGTTGTGATGATCTGTATTGCTTGTTTTGTATAGTTTTGACTGTGACAGTAGGCTAGCTACTGTTTAAAAGTGTTTTTGGCATAAAATTTAACATTTATAAAAATCTTATATAAATTTTGTTAAATAGTAAATGGTAGGTGTTTAAGGTTTGGTTAACATTAACCACAATTTTGCTCAATTTTTCTTTTGAGGTCAAATTAGTGACATTGGTTCATCATATGGGTGGAGTTATTCGAAAAGACTTTAATTCTAGAGTTACACATCTGGTGGCAAATTGTACACAAGGAGAAAAATTCAGGGTATGTATGTAACCTTAATATTTCTGGATATTCCAATACAGCATTATTTTGGAATGGGATTTTTGCTTATTTACTAGTTTGTTCTGACACTGTAAGCCCAGGCTGCCCAGGAATTCATGTAGGTCAGGTTGACTTTGAACTCATGTCTGTCCTCTTGCTTCCTCTCTCCATGTGTGGGATTATAGACTTGAGCTACCATGCCTGGCTCGGGGTGGGTTTAATAACACTCTTGATCCCATTTATTGAGGATAAGAAATGGGCGTTTTGCTATTGGAATATGTAATAAAGGGCTTGGGATGCCGTTCGATTGAGTTGCTTAGCATGCACCTTTCAGTTGAGTTGCTTAGCATGTACAGTGGCCTTGTTTGGTCCATGGCATTGCATTCCTGCTGACAGTGCATGACTGTAATACCAGCACTCCAAAGGTAGAGGTGGGAGAATCTAAAGTTCGGGCCAGCCTGGCTATATGAGACCCTGTCTCAAAAGAACCAAAATCCCTTAGTATAAATTTAAATCACAGGAATGTGGCCCCTTAGGTTTTAAGAAGGTGTTGAAAGATGAGTATATGATTGTAAGGGCTGGGATGGGTAGTGTGTCGAAGGGTTCTGAGACCCTGGTGATTCGGGGTCAAGAACTCTTGTGTAAGTGGTCTTTATAAGGATAGAGCTGTGACTTGTGAAAATTATAAAAACAAAGTATCTGCCCTCCACCTCCCAGCCCCACACAGGGTCTGTACCTGCATGGCAGCCTAGCCTCAAACTCAGAGTCCTCTTTGCCTCAGCCTTCCGAGTGCTGGGATTACAGGACTGTGCCACTGCCAGCTGAAAGCACTTTATTAGGATTGCAGTCTTACCTTGAAATTGTAGTTGAAGTAGTTGAATTTTACATTTTATTTATTTTGTGTGCTCACACAATACACATATTGCATGTGTGAAGTTTGCATGTGAGAACTCACCTGTCCTTGAATTTTCCCTAAGGCTTAAAAAATTCACATGCATGTGTGTGCGTGCGTGTGTGTGTGTGTGTGTGTGTGTGTGTGTGTGTGTGTGCGTGCGTGCGTGCGTGCACACATGTGCGCATATGTGCCTGCCATGTCCTGCATGTGGGGATCAGAGAAGAGCTTGTAGGAATTGGTTATCTCTGCCATGTGAGTTCCTGGGATTGAATTCAGGTAGTCAGGGTTATTAGCAGCTGCCTTTACCAGCTGAGCCATCTCACTGGCCTGCCCCTAAAAGTTTTGATGGATCGTCTAAGAGTTTAGTGACTAAATCACATGTGTTTTCTGTGGTGCTCTATTAGTCAGTTCTTCAAAGGTGGGAAACAGGGAAAATCAGTTTTTCTGCCCTGTCTTCTGTGGGACCCGTGAGCCTTAGGTGTTGGGGTTGCACTGTAGGTCTGTCACTTGAGCTAAGCCCCCCACAGTTGCTTATTGTTTGTCTCGCCACCAGTCGTGGAACTTTGCACTAGTCTCCAGCTGTTGCAAAAGAAACTTTGGCGAGCAGTGAGTGCACACTTGTCTGTGAGCAGAGGACACGTATTTCGAATACACTGAGACATTACATAGGTCTGGGAAAGTGGCCGTAGGAGATTCTTCTCTCGGGTCTCTGGCCTCTCCATCCACGTGCACTTGGCTGTTTACAGTACTACATATGCTCAAGTTCAGTTAGACAGTTGCTGACTGCCCTTAAGATACAAGTGCTGCTATTGGGCCAATAGAAGATTTTGCTGGGTCAGTCATTCTTCGATTCACAGACTTACAGCAGGGCAGGACCCTGGCCGACTTTCTCCCCTAGCAGCTTGCAGGGCATCTTCTGATACCATGAGAACTAGGCCTTGGGGTGGAGGTTTCTAGACAGCTCACTGACCTACCTGAAGTCTGTGCTGTCTTCAGTAGAGTTTTAACCTTCAAGTTCTGGGAGGCAACCAAGGCTAGTGGCAATAGCCTATGGTGTTTTGGGAGTGTCCTGACTGACACCTTGAAGGGAGGGTTCCCTTGCCTGGCACTGGGATTTTTGTTAGCCTTGGGCTACACACGCACACACACACGCAGAGACACACACACGCACATGCACACACACAGGCGCACACACAGAGGCACACACGCACGCATGCACACACACACACACAGGCACACGCACGCACACAGAGGCACACACACAGAGGCACAGGCACACACGCACACACAGACGTGCACACATACACACATGCGCGCGCGCGTGCACACACGCAGGCAGTATATGTTTTAAAATTAGCTTCTATACCACATCTCCCTTTGGCTTTCCCTTAGTGTGCCTCTCCTCCCCCTTCCCCTGTGTTGCCCTCTCACCCCCTCCCTAGTTAAAGTGCTCCCTACTTTTCCCATTTCCCTTTTGATAACACCTGTGTCCTACTGTCCCGCTCTCTCAAGCCCCTTCTCCCCTCCCTCATGGTCCCCTTCTGCTCCCCTGGCTTTTGCAGTTACCTCAGGTTATATATTGACACTTGAAGATTTGGAGCTGGATCCACATTGAGAGAGCACATGGGCTTTCTGGCTGTGCCAGGGAAGCTGCGCCCACAAAACCCCAACAATACAGTTGCCTGACCAGAACCTGCTCGACAGCACCAGTTGACATGCCAGTGTGGATGGGGGAGATTACCAAGGTCCCACATTTAGCTGGAGAGCTACAGACAAGCTGTTGAGGGAGGGAGAACCGATTTTCTGCAGGGATGAGCTCTCTGATAGGTTAGCCGGTCCCAAGTGGGCAGCTGTAAATGCATGTACACACGAGAACCACTAAATAGACTCAATGCATTATGTATATATTTATAGATTATTAAATGTCTGTATACATATACACAAATGGTAACAAAGAAGGGGTCACCAAGTTGTGAGGGAGTCGGGGAAGGGACTTGGGAAGAATTGGAGGGAGGAGGAGAAGATGGGATGCAAATGTTTTAAGTAGAGAACTCATGTATGAAATTCCCAAAAGTTAAAAATTTAAAAAAGGAATAAAAGTTGGGCACCACAGAACTTACTTTTTTTGTGTGACAGGGTCTCCCTGTGGCACCACCTGGCCTGGAACTTGACTAGGCTGGCCTCAGTCTCATGGAGATCTGCCTGCTTTGACCTCCGCAGTGCTGGGGTTAAAGACTTGTGGCGCCATGCCCATCCCTTTAAAGTTATTTTAACTTTAACAAACTATAATGTAAAATTTTGCTAAAAATTATTGAGGACTGGCAAGATGGCTCAGTGTTCAAGAACACTTGCTACTCTTGCAGAGAACCCGAGTCTGGTTCTCAGCACCCACATTGGGCAGCTCACAACTTCCTGTAAGCCCAGTTCCAGGGGACTTGACACCCTCCTTCTGGCACCCACACATGGCATACATTTACACAGACACAGATAAATAGAAAAAACAAAATCTAAAAAAAAATTATGTATGTAATTGTTTAGAAGAACTTCCTTGAGTTGTAATTACTTAAGTTGGAAACGCATGGTAATTATAATTAATATTCTTAGGTTGCTGTGAGCCTGGGTACCCCGATCATGAAGCCAGAATGGATTTATAAAGCCTGGGAAAAACGGAATGAGCAGTAAGTGCTTAGAAATTCAGTAGGTCGTTGTATGAATTCAGCATATGTTATTTTTTTAAATTTCTTTTTTTCAGCATATGTTTTAACGTTAAAGCCATTTGCCAACAAAAACTAAGTTCCTAGATAGTATAGAAAAATCGAATTCAGTCTTTTGGTGGTTTAGGAAATGTAGGTTATAAAAATACTAAATTCAGAGGTGTGGTATTATTGAGTTTTAGTTTGTAAAATACTTTTTCAAGAAAAGATTGCGTGAGTATGCATGACATGTATAGGAGCATGTGTGCCACAGCTTGATTGTGGTGGGGGACTGTTGAGTGGGTTCTGTTAACCTTACATGAGCTCTGGGACTGTATGAGCACATACACAGGTGAGCACACGCACTAGTACAAATAAAGTTTTTATCATAAATATTTAAAAATATTAGATAATAGCTTAATGGCTGTGGGCATTTGAATTGTGTGAGAGGGTTTCTTACGTTTGATTGTATTTTATTTATTCTTAGAATTTCAGCCTCCTCCTTTGCTATGGTAGGTCATCACAGATTTTGTGAAACTAGAGAACTGTTCGTTAAAGAGTTTCAGATGCACAGCCAGGATTTGAATCTTGTTTGGTTGCCGACCACATGTTGTCAGCAGTACTTCCAGGGTGACTTATGGACTTGGAAGGGCTGTTTTTGGATAAGGAACCCAGGGCCTTTGCATGTTAATCTCTACCACAGAGCAACATCTCAGGAAATCCCCCCCACCGTCCCTTTTTAAAAATTGCAATTGTAAACATTTTAGGACCTTATGTAAAATATTTTCAATGAATACATTATGCTAAGACCTTGAGAATTATTGGAGTTTTATAAATTGATGTACCTAACTAATGAAATTTAAATTAAACTGGGTTTTAGAAGACCGTATTTTCTTTTTAGAGATTTCTGTGCAGCAGTTGATGACTTTAGAAATGAATTTAAAATTCCTCCATTTCAAGATTGCATTTTAAGTTTCTTGGGATTTTCAGATGATGAGAGAACCAACATGGAAGAAATGACCGAAATGCAAGGTAACTACAGCTTCGTGTGTGTGGTGGGGTGGGGTGGCTAATCCCGTCAGCTCCACGATCCAGAAGCACCTAGGAGACAAACCCGAGTGTATCTTTGAGGAACTTTGGAGATTGGGTTAGTGGAGGTGGGAGACTTTGTGAGGCTCCATCCACGGGCTGGGGCTCCAGAGTGAACGGAGAGAAAGAGCTGAGCCCCAGCGCGCTCCGGCCTCCTGTCTGGATGCAGTTCGGCTGCCACTGCTCCCACTGCCCTGTCGCAGTGCCCTCACACTGAGCCCGAGCAAACCTGTCAGTGCTTTTGTGGTACTTTGTCACAGCGAATATGTAGCTGCTCTGTACATTTCACTCCCCAGACTAATCACTTCAAATGAGTGAGTGTTTCAGTGAGTCAGACGTGCGGTTGGTCATTTAGCCTACTTGTGCTCTATTTGTCTCCTAGGAGGTAGCTACTTAGCAGTTGGTGATGAAAGGTGTACTCACCTTGTAGTTGAAGAGAACACAGTAAAGGACCTTCCATTTGAGCCCTCAAAGAAACTGTATGTTGTCAAGCAAGAGGCAAGTAACTCCAGAGGGAGATTGGTGTGTTTCAACATTCCTAAAAGCTTCTCTGCTAATGTAAATTTAAATTCTTAATTAAAATATTTTTCTCTCATCTAGTGGTTCTGGGGAAGCATTCAAATGGATGCTCGCGCTGGAGAATCTATGTATTTGTATGAAAAGGTATTTGTTCTTATTTGTCCTTAGGCATTTACACTGTGAACTTATGTAAAAATACTTTTTTTCTTCTATCTTAAAAGGTTTAGAGAGTGATAGAATTAGTTTACATATCATATGTTTAGGTATTTTAGAATCAACAGTTGGATAGTCATATTATTAGTCTGTAGATTTAAATGAAACTGTGTAATACAATGGGTATTGTTCTAATCTAACATAAGTCATTCTGTGTTAATTCTTTATTAGTTTTTGAGGGGCTGAGACTCAAGCGTAGATCCCCCTGTGTGCTAGGCAAACTCTATCTTTGTGCCTTATCTCCAGCCCAGTCTGCTAAACGTGCTCCATACCACTATCAACAGTAACAGCCCTGTCTTTAGAAACTTACAGCCTTCATAGATCAAATGATGTGTGGTGCAGCTGAGTAATGTGTTATAGAGAATCTCACTCTCTGAGAGACTTGAGCAGGATTGAATAGGACAAATGAATGACCCAGCCGTCCTAGGCTGCCCAGGTCAGGACATTAGATAGAACAACAGGTAGGAGAGGGTTGGAAAGCTTGGCTGCATTACAGTAGTAAGTAGTTTAGAATGACTTGAAGAAAAAAAATACCAGAAAGAGCATTAACAGATTAAGTTAGATAGGAAGACTCAAGAAGTTTCTTAATATGTTAGACAGTGATGTATTTATCATTTGCTTTGGGAGTCCTTGAAGGATATTAAGGAAAGAGAACAGAAAAGACGACTTCATAGAAGGATGTAGACAGGAAGAGCCTGCCTTCATGCCGGATCTCAATCCAAAATAGCCACCAGGATTCTAGATTCAATTGTTTGGAGTGGAAAAGCCAGGCATGGTGGTACACATCCTAATCTTAGACCTGGGAGGCTGAAGAAGGATTTCAATGACTTTGAGGCTGGTCATGGCTATGTAGTGACTACCAGGCAAACAGCGAGACTGTACTTCAGTAAAACAAAAGTAATTTTTTTGGGTGGTATATTGAATATGACGCATAGGCTTACTGTTGGTAAAATCTAGGAAGCTTATTATGTACTCTGTTAGAGTCTTCTGTTTTCTATGTAAAGTTCTTAATAAAGCTTAAAAAGTGCTTTGGATATAGGGAGAGAGCTCTTCAAACTCTTGTTTGAACTTGAAATCTTTATTCAGGAAATAACTGAAGCAAATAACAGTGGTGCTATGAAGAGGCAAGAGGTGCTGGGTGGCCGCTTTAGCAGTACCCTGACCATTCTGTTTCATGAAGCTTCTGACTTGCCTATCAGACTGTAGGATTGTAAAATTATTATACAAAATTTACATTTTGGGTTTTTTTTTTTGTCCAGATATATTTTTTGTATTTTGTTTAAGAACCACAGAAGTCAAATGGAGTTTTTATGTTTTGATCACAGGCTAATACTCCTGAGCTGAAGAAATCAGTGTCCCTGCTGTCTCTGAGCACCCCAAACAGTAATCGCAAAAGGCGCCGATTGAAAGAGACACTGGCTCAGCTTTCAAGAGAGACGGACCTCTCGCCTTTCCCTCCCCGCAAGCGGCCCTCAGCTGAGCATTCCCTTTCTATAGGATCGCTCCTCGATATCTCCAACACACCAGAGTCTAGCATTAACTATGGAGGTAATTCACTCTTAGAGTATAGATAAGTCTGTACTACAGGGAATAGGAAAGGCTTACTGCCAGTCACCTTTGTTCTAGTTGAGGACATATGACACATGGAAAGCCAAGCGTAGCCAGGCAAGGCGATGCACCTGTGATCCCAGGACGGGCAGATGGAGGCAGGAGGAGTTCCAGCCTAGGCTATATGAGACTGTCTCAAAAAACAACTCCAGAAAACCAGATTCTCTCATTTTCTCTCTTTCTCTGTCTGTCTCCCTCCCTCCCTTTCACACACACACATACACACACACACACACACAGAGAGAGAGAGAGAGAGAGAGAGAGAGATCAACTATGCTTCTGTTGGGTGATTGCTCCATGCATATATTTGTGTGTTTGTGATAGATTTTGTGTCTGTTTTACAGGTCATTGAACTGAGGTTCAGGGAAGTTATAACTTGTTCAGGTTATGGCTACAGAGTAATAGCTATTTCAAAAAAAGAAAATTTTTTGAGACAAGGTTTCAGATAGCTGAGGCTGGCCTCTTAAGCTCTGGGACTGTAGATATGTACTACCATACCTGTCTGCAAACAAGCTCTTAGCACTAATAAAAAAGAATCATAGGAAATATTACATTTATTATGGAGAAAATGGGCAGAATGGAGTTGGGGAGGGTGATGTCACTGTGTTGAACTGACGGGGTTTTCGGTAATTAACCCTCTGTCTTGATTGCCAGTATTTCTCTATTTAGTCTGAAAATACGTAGTGTTTTTTAGATTTAAGAAACAGTCGACAGCCTTTTGACCCCACGGCATCTTCACTTACCGTCCCACTTTGCGCCCCTTTACACCCAGCGCATTTCCTGTTTGTTTCTCTTGTGCTTCTTATTCATTCCCGTTAAGCCATCCTTACCACATAAAGCTTTCATCCGGCATTTGAGCAGTTAACTCTTTCGTGGACACCTCCCCCCACCCCAGGCTTTTGTGATATAAATTATTTTTTGCTCCTTTGTCTAACCTCTCCTTCCAACTCTAAATCCAAATGTTTTGTGTTTTTTCTGAATCACTGTTTCTTCATTACATTTTATTGTGTTTCCCCTAAATGATCTCATTTAATTCTATGACTTTAAATAATTTTCTGTGCTGATGTCTCCTGAATGTGTCTTCTGTCCACCTGCCGACTTGAGACTTCTTGTCCTGTTCTATAGGTATCATACACTAGCCGGTCTGGAACCTCTGGTTCTGTGTCCACCTGCCGACTTGAGACTTCTTGTCCTGTTTGATAGGAATCATACACTAACGGGTCTGGAACTCTAGTCTGCACTACTGGTCTGCACCCCTGTGTTGCCCTCTCTCACTCCTGTCCTCAGTTTTTCTTATAAAAAGTTCTCATGGATGAGTATACTGTTTTCTTAAAATGACTTCTCTGTTTTGCTTTTTGACTTGTTACATGTTATGCCTCTAAAAAACAGGAAAATTACATCATCAGTCCTTTGCTTCAACAGTCATTTAGTAGCTTTGTATCATTGTAGCTTTTTTCTTCCTGTTTTTTTGAGAAGGCCATAGTGGCCTTGGATTCCCTTGGTAGCCGAGGCTAGCCTTGAACTACTAATCTTCTGCCTCCATCTCTCAAGTGCTGGGATTATAGGCATGTGCTGCCATATCTGGTTTCAATATTAATTTAGATGAAACAGATAATTGCCTTGGCCTAAGTGATATTTTTATATTGGAAGATAGTACAGTTTTAGAATTCTTGGTTACATTAAGATGGTCTTTGATAGATAAAGTAGCCTATGGATGAATCTGGTTGATTGGGAGAAAGCACCAGGACACAGATAAAACTCCCATCGGAATAGAGTTTATTAGCAAAGGAACACATGGGACAGATTCCCTTCTGGGCAGGGAAAATGTCTGCCCCTGTTGTGAGCTGGGGTCTTTTAAAGGGGGAGGCTTCTGAGGGGGTGCAGAAGGTGGGAAAATGTATTTTTTTAAAAGTTGGGGGGGGCGCGACGATGACTGTTAAACCTGCCCTGTTTAGAGATCAAAGGGGAAGCCTACTATGTTGGCCAAACAGTGGAGAAAAGTCTGATTCTCTTGACTTCAAAGACCAGGGTGCTTATCAACTCGTTCCCTTTTCTCAGGGGCTTGTGAGGTCTGTGAGGCCCTGTTGGTGAGGGAGCGGAGCTATCTGAACCTTAACACTCTTGAACTTGGAATCTTCCTGCTGTGGTTTCCCAAGTAAATGGGATACCAGGCCTTCTTGGTTCCCTAGTTGTAATGGACAAGACCACAGGGCAGTGAGAACTCATCATAAAGGTCTAAGGCTTGAACATACAGTTTAGAAAGGCAGGAGAAGAAAGTGAGCCATTAAAATAGACACAGTGACCATACTAGTATAGTAGACCCTCTAAAAAATAGATCTGCACGTAGATCCCTGCCTACACAGCGTTCTCTACGTGAAGTCACACTGTGTCTCAGACTCTTCCTCATTCAAGTGTCCCGTAATGGCTGAGACTTGTAGGACTGGTGAGTGTGACCTGAAATAGCGTATGGCACATGTGAAATTCTGTGAACTACATTTTCTTTCAGATCATTTAGTACTCTACATGATCGTTTTAGTATGAGAATGTTTAAAAATATTTATGTAAAATGACGGTTAGGAATATTGTGTTTCCCATATCACACATTCCTTTTCCTATTGAAAACTCACCATTAGGAACCTGTACATGTGATGCTGGAATTTTTCAACATCCTGATAGGGAGACAATGTGTTGTAAGCTTTTATAATTTTTTTCTCAATTTTCTTTCATGATATACATAATATACGGATGGATGCTGCCTCCTTCTGTTTGGGTTGGACTGGATGTTTTTATATTGTGTTAAGATAACTTTGAACAAACAGAATTATTTTTGTGGCTTTACCTCTTGAAATTTTACTGTATTGAAAATCTAAGTGTGTGTAATATTTTGTCCATAGATCTGCCTTCTAATTCAGCCTTTTTTCCTTTTTATACTTTTAGAAACACCTAAGTCTTGTACCAAGTCTTCTAGAAATTCCACTCCAGTTCCTCCAAAGCAGTCAGCCAGGTGGCAAGTTGCAAAAGAGCTCTATCAGACCGAGAGTAATTATGTAAATATACTAGCCACAATCATTCAGGTGAGTATGTTTGCCTATAGAATGTTTCCTGTAGTTTGTAAAGGTCGTGCCCCTCCATTTCTTCCTTTCTGTGATTGTGTGTTTTGCTCTTTTATTTATTTTTGTTTTTCAGGGGATATGGGGTTAGACAAGGCCTTGCTGTGTAGTTTTTATTTTTTAGGGGGATATGGGGTTGAGACAAGGCCTTTCTGTGTAGTTTTGCCTGCCCTAGTACTCACTATGTAGCCCAGGCTGGCCTTGAGTTTCTAGTGATCCTCCTTCCTCTGCCTAGGGAGTGCTGGCAACGGTGTGTGCCACCACAGCAGCCGGAGATGGCTTAGAGGCCAAATGAGGAGGAGTGCAGCAGCCTTAGACAGCAGGCCTGGCCCTGGCGCTTCTTCAGAGTGTCACAGGCTGCTGGGCCATGGTTGTCCAGAAGCACTTGTGCTGTTGTTGAGCCTCTGTGTACACTTGGGGCATTGGCAGTCCTGTATTTGTGCCTAAGAGCCCTGGTCACCTCCCCGTTGTGCTTTTCTTCGGTTTGGGTTGACATAAATGACTCCATTTAAAAAAAAATTATTTGTTTATATTTATTTATTTTGTCTTTTTGAGACATGGTCTCCCTGTAGCCCCAGCTGGCTTATAACTTGCTGTGTAGACTCGATCTCACAGAGTTCCACCTGCCTCTGCCTCCTGAGTGCTGGGATTACAGGCGGGTGTCACCACACCTGGCTTTCTTTTTTCTAATGTTCATATATTTTGTGTGTGTGTCTCTGTCTCTATGGGTATGGTTCACCGCACGTGTAGAGGTCAGTGCAACTTTCTGGAGCATCTCCCCTTCATGTGGGTTCTGGGGATGGAGCTATGGTTTCAAGCTCCTTTACTTGTTGAGCCGTCTTGCCGGCCCATGTTTGTTTTAGTTTTACTCTTTCCGTCATTTGTGCTGTTGTCCTTCTGTATATGTTACAAACCCACCAATACCTTTTCATAGCTTTTATTGGAATATTTTTTTCAACTTTTTTGCTTTTTGTGGGGGAAGATGTACAGCTCTGTGGATTTTAATATACAGACATTGTGTAACTACCATCAGGAATCAGAACAATTCTGTCTCCCCAAATCTTCATTTCTTTTAACTGTCCCGTAAATGGAATTGTAGTATATAACTTATCAGGACTGGCCTCTTTCAGAATCACCCAACTAGACTGATATTTTTCCCTTTATTAATACCAAACCAATTTCAATATTACTGTTTTCTAGCATGTAGTTCCTTTGTATTTCCACATGAATTTTTAGATTTGGATTTATTATGTCTATAGAAAGTCCTAAAATGTTGATTGGTATTGTGTTGAAATCCCTAGATCGTTAGGAAGAGACTTGACTGTCTCACTGTGTTCTGTCTGTGATTATATGACTGCATTTATTTAACTCTTTGACTTCATCCCTCATCTCTCAGTGGTTTGTGCATAATGTGTATGTTATTGTTGTATTTTAATTTTTTTGTATTGGGTGGTACTGCTTTTTAAGTTTGTTTTAAGTTTGTGTATTACTGGTACATAGGAATAAGATTTATGTATCAGTTGTGTGTTTGTGTATACTGCCTTTTTATCCTGTGATCTTACTAAACATGTGTATTAGTTGTTTGAGGTTTTTTCTTTTTTTAAATATTTTAATTTTTATTTTACGTGTATGTGTGTATTGACTGCATGTGTGTGAGTGCACTTGTGTCCTACAATGCCTGCAGAGGTCAGAAGAGTGCGTTGAATTCCCCTGGAGCTGCCATGTGGGTGCAGGGAACTGAATCTGGGTCCTCCTCAAGAGCAGCCAGTGCTCTTAACTGCTGAGTCATTTCTCCAGTCCCCAAGTTTTTTTTTTCTTTTTTAAGATTGATTCATTTGGTCCAGTGGGTAAAAGTGCTTGCTGTGCAAATCTTAATTGCCTGTGTTCAATCCTGGGATCCCATGATGGAAGCGAGCCGATTTCTGAAAGTTCTTCTCTGAGCTCCACACATGCTCTGTTGTACATGTGCATCCATACTTACACATACACATACCACCACGCATACACAGTAAGGAAAAACTGTTTCAGCAGTAACACAGACAGATATCAGGTCTTCTAACATTAAGTTTAGTTTACTTCCAACCAAGTTTCTGTGCTACCATTTCTAAACACTAAAGTGTATATCTGGATAGCTTATTGCTTTAGTCCCTGGAAATTAAGGAAAAATGTAGGAATTATTTTTCTACTGATTCTAATAGTTTATCTGTAAAACGGTAAAACCTTCGTTAGCTTAAAATATAACGTTTTATGTTATGGGTGTGTGTGCGCACACGTTACATGTGCATACACAAAAGATCAGTGTATGAATGGAATCTAAAATGTTATGAGACTAAGCTGGGCAGGCAGACCTCTGAGATTGAGGCCAGCCTGATCTGTGTAGTCAGTTCCAGGCCAGCTGGGGCTATAGGGAGACCTGTCTCAAAACAAAAACAAAAAACAAAGTTAAGAGATTATTAAATTTAGGGAAAATATTTTCATGAATTTTCTGATGTTGACATCTCATCTTTTACTGCCATTAATATTTTAGTCTTTTTGCCTGGCAGTCTACCTAAACAACATACCTCATTCAGTTATTTCAGGTGCCCTTAGAAGAGGAAGGCCAGCGTGGTGGGCCTATTCTTGCACCAGAGGAGATTAAGACTATTTTTGGGAGCATCCCAGATATCTTTGATGTACATATGAAGATAAAGGTAAATTTGGATTTTGTTAAGTCAATAGAATTCTTCTTTTTTCTTCTTTTGGTTATGCATATTTATCACATTTCAGGCATTTCCCCTTAGCTAAATAACTAAGTTTTGTATTGAACATTGATGTCTCACTATGTAGCCCAGGCTTGCCTTGGACCCAGGTCTCTTTCCTCAGGCTGGGATCACAGGTGTGAGCCTCTGCTCTTGGCTTACAGCTTTCAAGTATCTTCACATTTTTATAGCTACGTAGTGTTTTAGAATGGATGTGGAGAGTTCCGTGGACCAGGGATTGTCGGAGCCCTGCGTGTCTCAGTAAGGAGCCCATTCATCTGCTTCCACTCCGAGAGCTGAGTGGTAGTGACAGAAGCCAGATGGTCGTGGAAGATACCATCTGTTCCTTTTAGTAAAAATTGCTGACCCTGTTATAGGTTATAATTTTTAATGACTTGTGTTAAATAAGCTGCTTCAACAGCAGGATTAAAAGTAGCTTTTTCATAATTAATAGGGCCAATCAGCTTTATAGTTAGTAAGGCAGAACATTGAGTAATCACATCATATTGGGAAATATAGATTGGTATTTCTGACTTGATGCTATTTACATCTCCTTAACTATTTCCCAAAGGATATTTTCTTTGTAGACAAAAAATTAATTTTTTGTCGAGACAAGGCTGTGCCCTCATACTGGGACTGTGTGAGGTGCTTCTTGCCTTCCTTGGAGATGTTGAAAGGTGTGTAGTCTGTCAAGTTCAAGCACTTTACTTTGTTCTGTTCCAGGATGATCTTGAAGACCTTATTGTTAATTGGGATGAGAACAAAAGCATTGGAGACATCTTCCTTAAATATGTAAGTGTGTGGTTTTCACCTTGCAGAGTTTAGTAGTAGCACATCAAGAACGAATAGGGAAGGAAATGTGAAAATGTGATTTTAAAACTTTGACAAATAAAATAGGGTGAAATTGTTCCTGACTTTTGAATGCACCTTCTCTGCCCATTTTAATGCAGGATCATTGTTGGAACCCCAGTTATCTCATTGTTTGCTGTGTAGAGATTTTACCATATGTAAAATGATTTGCTATTCAAAAATAGTCATATATTAATGATTTCTTTAAAACTATAAATAAATTTTTCCTTTTTTCTTAGTTGATATCACTTTACTTTCCTGTGTTTCTGTTGAAAGATTTCCAATGGATTACTTCTTCTAGATTGAGATAACCACAAAGAAATTGGTATCTGAGGGTGTAGCTCAGGGTAGAATGCTTGCTGACTGAGCTTGATGCCTTGCACTGGGGAGGAGGAGACAAACTACTAAGGGTACGGCTAGCTCAGAGCTAAGAGTATTTACCTACAGCGCATGAGCCCCTTAGTTTATAAAGTCCTTCAAAAAATGTAGGGTGTGGGTACATACATCTCTGCTTGTAGCACTTGGGAAACTGAGGCAAGAAGATTGTGAGTCTGACACCATCTGAGCTACATAAGGAGGAAGTCTTTTCTCAAAAGGCCATGTAGCTTAAGTATGGAAAATAGATTCATTTTGCACCAGGCATGGTGGTTTACTCTGTAACGTAGTACTCGGGCTGAAGCAGGATTGCTGTGAGTTTGAGGCCAGCCTGGGCTACCCAGTAAGATCCTATCTCATTAAAATAATAATTAAAAAAGAAAATACTCATTTTCATGAGGGGCAATGACTAGAATCCCTGTAGGGGTGTTTTTTTGAATCACTTCGGTGGGGTTTTAGGGCCTATTCTGGAGCCAAGGGTCTTTGTTTTCTGAGGCCTTTTTTTGAACTTCTTTCGATGTTTATTCAGGTTTGAGAGTTATAAACATGCAAATTATTAGCATTTTGATTTGATAAATGCTTAGTAACCTTAACCGACAAGACTTTTTCTTTGAAAAAAAATTAGAAAAAAATTATTTATTTTGCTTTTATGGGACAAGATCTCCCTGTAGCCCCAGCTGGCCTGGAACTCTCTATGTAGAACAGGCTGGCCTTGAACTCATGGAGATCTGCCTGTTTCTGCCTCCTGAGTGCTGGGATTAAAGGCATGGGCCACCATGCATGGCACAGATTTTATTTTTTATGTTTAATCATGATTATGTGAGTGTCTTTGTTTGGATAGGTGTATGTGTGTGATTGCTGGTCCCACAGAGGCCAGTAAGGGCATCAGAACCCCTGGACCTGGAATTAAAGGTGGTTGCCGGCTTCATGAAGTGGGTGCTGGGAGCTGAATCTGAACACAGCCCTCTCAGCTGAGCCCACTTTCCCTTTCTTTTTCTCAATTGCATTTTGGGTAATGCAATTGGTCTCTAATAGTGGCTAGATTTTTCAACAAATTGCACACTTTCAGGCTGTCTATAGACCAGTTTTAATTTACTATATTTTGGAAAATATACAGGCTTTTAATGCTGGTATTACAGGTCTGTCATCATGCTCAGTTTATACAGGGTTGCGGATTGAACTGAGGACTTTCTTTATACTAGGCAAGCACTTTACCAGCCGAGCTACATCCCCAGCCTGAGACTTTAAAATTCTTTGTCACGTTTCAGTGTATCAAGTTATTAGTATAAACTCTGATATTCCTTTGTTTCATTGTCATTCATTCATTCATTCATTCATTCATTCATTCATTCATTCAGAGATGGGGTCTTACTGTAGTGCTGAGCCTCTCCTGGCGCTCAGGCTGACCTTGAACTGGCAGTCCTCTCTCCTCCTGAGTGCAGAGGTGTGCGCCAATGTATTTAGCACCAATTTGTTTTAAAATTTTCTTTTGCATGTGAATCTGTGATTCACAAGTGTTTCACAAAGTTTCATTTTCTAAGTATGACCTGCATAACAAATTGTTTATCCTTTTTGTTTGTTCGTAGTCAAAAGACTTGGTAAAGACTTACCCTCCCTTTGTGAACTTCTTTGAAATGAGCAAGGAGACAATAATTAAATGTGAAAAACAGAAGCCCAGGTTTCATGCATTCCTCAAGGTAATATACATTTCTTTTAGACTAAACTTGAGAATCACGTTTGAAGGAGTTTATTAAAATAACAGATTAAGTAATTTAAGAAAATTGTGTCTTTAGTGAATTGTATCCATATAAAAACACCTTAATATGGGTCTTCATTTTAGTTGGACCTCTGAGTGACCGTGACCTTTAGTTTTAGAAGATTTGGTACGTTAGATAGCAGAGCCCCGAGACAGTTGAGTGACTAGTAATGTTGTAGATTGTTTGATTTGTTTCAGCTTTCTTGTAGTGGTGGAGATTGGGCTTAGGATATTGCATATGTGAGCCTGTATGTGGTTACTTTAAAAAGAAAAAAATTATTCATGTGTGTGTGTGTGTGTGTGTGTGTGTGTGTGTGTGTGTGTGTGTGTGTGTTGAGATGGGTTCACTGTATAGCTTGGCTGCCAGGAACTTGCTTTGTAGACCCACGGGCCTTGAACTCGCAGAGATCTGCCTGCCTGTTGGTTGATTGCTGCGATTAAAGACTTAGGAACCACTATCGTGTCCTGCCTGTTATCCATGTTTTAACCCTCAAAATACCTAAGGATTGTTCTAGTGAGGTTTTGTTTGGCCTTTAATTATTTTTTTCCTCTTACAAGTGCCTCACTTTAACCAGTGGTATCTGTATAATTAATATTTTCATTTTCCATGAGGCAGTCTAGAGAAACTGAAGATAGGCTTTAGACAGGTGTGTAAAGTTTTCTTTGTAACATGTTAACGTTTACTGACCAAGCCTCTGAAAATTATTGTGCCTCAGTGATCTGCCAAAGAGCAATTACCATCCTACCTAGTCTCTAGCAATTCTTTTTTTTTGGGGGGGAGGACTTTTTGAGACAGGGTCTCCCTGTAGCCCCAGCTGTCCTGGAACTTACTATGTAGACAGGCTGGCCTTGAACTCACAGAGATCCACCTGCCTCTGCCTCCCGAGTGCTGGGATTAAAGGTATGCGCCACTTTTTAAAAAGCAATCGATGTTTTAAAAAAATATTTTCTTTATAGCTGGGTGTGGTGGCAAAACCTTTAATCCCAGCACTCAGGAGTCAGAGGCTGGTGGATCTCTGAGTTCAAGGCCAGCTGGACTACAAGGTGATCCTGTCTCAAAAAGACAAAAAAAAATTAGAGTTTTTAATTTTATGTGTAAGAGTGTATTGACTGTATGTATGTAAGTGCATCCATATCGTGCAGTGCAAAAAAATTTTGATTTATTTATTTTTTGCATATGAGTGTATTGCCTGTAGGTATGTAAGTGCATCCATGTTGTGCAAGTACCTGCAGAGTTTGGAAGAGGGTCCCTCTGGAACTGGAGTTATGGACAGTTGTTAGCTGCCTTGTGGGTGCTTGGAATTGAATCTGGGTCCTCTGCAAAAGCAGCCAGTGCTCTTAACCACTGGGCCATCTCTCCCCTACGCCTTCCAAAATCCATGTTTTACATTGACTTATTGTGTGTGTGTGTGTGCGTGTGCGCGCGCGCATACTTAGTGTGCTTATGGAGGTCAGAGGTTCTTTTTACCATGTGGATGCCTGGGATCAAGCTCAGGTTGTCAGGTTTGGTGGAAGTGCCTTTGCCTTCTGAGCCATCTCACCTGCTGGCCCTTCTTAATTCCGTGCAAAGACATCAGTGATAGAATCATTTGAAAATTTTTACAGAAAATTAAAAAAAAATTTTTGTAATAAATTACTTCCTTTTAGATAAACCAAGCGAAACCAGAGTGTGGACGACAGAGCCTCGTGGAACTTCTCATTCGGCCAGTACAGAGGCTACCCAGTGTTGCCTTACTTTTAAATGGTACTTGTCTGATCAGTTTTGGATTATTTTAGATGTTGCTATTCAATAGTCGTTTTTTTCTTTTTTGGGGAGAGTGTCTTTTATTTCCCTGCTTGTCTTGATCTTACTTAGCCAGGGATGCCCTTGAACTGCTTTCTGCCTCTCCTGCCTCCACCTCTTGACTGCTGGCATTATGTGATTGGGCCGTGGTGTCTATAGAGTTGGAAATGGAACCCGTAGCTTTGTGCATGCTAAGCAAACACTCTAGCAATTGAGCTACCTTCCCAGCATACAGTACCTTTTTGTTGATATCTTTATTTTCAGAATTTCTTAGATGTCAACATTAAAGTTGTCTTTTACACAGAAAACAACTTTATAGGTTTTGAAACATAGCTTTAACATTTTTTGTTTGTTTTTTAAAATACATAATTGAAAATTTCATACACACATATAAGGTGTTTTGATCAAATCGATGCCTACTCCTTCCCCTCCAACTCCTCCCATGTCTCCCCATCACTTTTTTCTGATAACTTCATGTACTCTTTCTTCTTTGATTGATTTATTTTTATGGGGCTGTTGGCTACTCTAAGAGGTATCCCTAAAATCTTTTAAGGATTAGATACAAGCTCCCAAATATTCTTGACATTTTGGCCTTTGGAACAGAATATGTTGCAAACAGGCCCAAAGACATTTTGACTTTAAGCCAAGAAACTGGCTACATTTCTTTGGGGTCTTTTTACCCTAACTGCCTAGCAAATTCCTACCTCCTATTCTTACCACACCATCCTCTGAAGGGGTTACCCAAATTGCCAATAGGGATTTGGGACGCAGACTGCTCTGGCTTTTCCATGCTGAACAGGGACACAGGGCGAGGTTATTGGTGTACCCCTTCAAAGGGTCTATCTAAAGGACTCCTAGATTGCATAACTCTTATCTCTAGGGGGAAAAGAAAGTCCTTGACTGGTGAATAGGAGATGTGAAGGAGAAGTAAAGGCAAGAGTAATTAATTAGCATTACAAGTTCTAGACAGAAAACTAGAAAAATGTCAGAACAGGGCAATTTTCAAATGTTCACATGAGAGTCCACTGGAATTTCTTGACAAGGGCTTCCCAAAGCATCCCTCTATTGGGCTCCTCCTCATTTTTCTTTTGTCTTCCAAGGCTGGACTCTAAGAGTGATGGATTGAGAATTTGCTTTCAGATATTTTGATAGCTGTTGGAGTAGTTTAGTTCCCTCACAAAGGCTTCTAGATAGGGGGAGAAAACAAGTTTAGCCATCATTTTAGAACAATAGCTGGTTGTCTCCCTTAGCTACAGGTGGGCACTACAGTATTAGAGACCAAGATTTGAAGTCTTACATCTGTCTGAGCAGCACTTTCTGGTTAGGAACAAAATCATCAATGAGAAATAATTGTCTAAATAACTTTTTATATGGACTTAAGCCTAATATCTGGGAAGTGTATTCCCTTGAACCCTTAAAGAAATATACTGATGACTTTAATCTTTGGTTATACTTTCCTTTTGGGTATTTAAGATCCTACAGTTGTCTCAAATAAATCAATTTATATTTACAGTTAAGGTTGTTTGAAGATCTGTTTGTCAGGGGTCACATGGGCTTGGAGAAGCCCCTGGCTCCTTTCTTTTACTACCAGTTCCATGTATGTGAAGATAAGTCAAAGGTCCTGCTTGACCATGTCTGGCTTCACTTGGAAGCATGAATGAGGTGTTTCCTCTGAGTTGACCCTCCTCTTTGTAGACTAGACACTGGTTCAAGTCCATCTGGTGGGGTCTCCATGTCCTCTCTGAACAAGAGGACAGGTGACTTACCACAGTTACAGGAAATTTTGAGAGACGTTCCATAGTCCCCTGGAACTTAGTCAACTTTGGAGGGCAAGGGGCGAAAACTGTCCTTTAAGTCCCTCTGACCACATTAATATAGACCTCAAAGTATGGCTGTTAAACATCCAATAGAGTTAGTTCCACCAGTCTGGTACTTTTAATTATCATGTGCTATGTAGATAAGGCTTGGGTGAAAAAACAGATATTCTCAGATAAACTTTGACTAAGCCCTATCTACATAGTTTTAACATTTATGAGAATTGTTTCCCTAAAATTCTCTGTTGTGGTACAATCATTTTCTACTTAAAATTTTCTTAAATTCCGTCGTATGTCACTAACTAAAAACATACTCAAGTTACAAAATTCTCTCAGAAACAGTACAGGAAGAGTATGAAGCTGGGTGTGGTGGTGCATGCCTTTAATCCCAGCACTGGGTGGTAGGGCAGAGACAGGCAGATCTTTGTGAGATGGGGCTACAAGGAGACCCTGTCTCAAACAAATCAAAACAAAACAAGAGTATGAAAACTAGACCGTTGAGTCTTTTTCTTGTAAAATTTTTTGTCTGAATTACAGTGCTAACAAAAACATGGTAATTTTTTTTCTGTTTACAATTATCTTTGCCATTGAAAATCATTAACCATATTTTCATCTTTCAAAGCACACCCTGTTGCATGGATTACATTGACAGTGTTGTGTGGATTGCATGGACAGTGTTGGGTGGATCACCTTGACAGTGTTCATGTACCGCAAGCATTTTTGTCCAATTTGCATTATTTTCATTATTTCATTAAATATTTTTTAAATTTTTATTTTGAGACAGGGTCTCGCTTTTGCCCAGCTGGGTCTTAACTCAAGCCAGCCTCCTGCCTGAGCCTCCTGAGTGCTGGGCTGTAGGTGAGAGCTCCTGCTTTCCTTTCAGTATGAGTCAGGTAGATGTTATCCTCCAAAGGGAATTTCTAAGCTTTGTTCCTTTTATTCCACATAAAAAAATAGATGACTTGGTGTTAGCTTGAGTACAGGTTTGGTAAGAATGTCTCAAGTGTGGCATAGGGAACCTAGTAAAGAACCTGGAGAAGAATTAACGTTAAATATAAGCTAAACTAATGGGCATTTGCTTTTAAAGGGCACCAAATGCTGCCTGTGATGGAGCCATGTGGACTAATGTGAAATTTAATGTGTAGTGGTTTATGATCTAATTGAGGATCATGTGTAAGGATCATGTAGTACCATAGAGAAAGCTCAAGGAATCCAGGAGCCCCAAGTGTGACTAGCAAACATTTGACATAGAGTATGAGAAGATCGGCCCTCTATTTGAAAAACAGAAACCGTAGAAAGTATGGAAATGTTCATGGAAGGAAAGCGCTATTTAGAGACTATTGGTTGACCTTTTTTTCTGGATAGTGTTTGGGATTAAACCCAGTATCATACACAGTTTTAAACAAGTACTCAATCACTGAGCTGTATCTTGAGCCATTTTTATTTTGAGACAGGCTAGTTATTACTGTGCACCCTAAGTTGGCCTCAAGCTTGTAATCCCCCTGCCTCCAACTCCCATGATTACAGGGATTATAGGCCTGTCATACCACACCTAACTAATAACCTTTCAAAGTAAGGCTTAGTTGTTTTCTTTGAAAAATAATCGATGGGCATGATGGCTCACGCCTTTAATCCCAGTAATGGGAGGCAGAGGAGGGTGATCTCTGTGAGTTCAAGGCCAGTCTGGTCCACATACTGAGTTCCAGGTCATCTGGAGCTACAGGGAGACCCTGTCTCAAAAAAAAAAAAAAAAAAAAATTAACCTATAGTGAAGCAAGATTGATATATTTTTAAGCCTTAAATGGAAAACCATTGAACTTTTTTAATCATTAAAAAAATTGTATTATTACAGATCTTAAGAAGCATACAGCTGATGAAAATCCTGACAAAAGCACTTTAGAAAAAGCTATTGGTTCACTAAAAGAAGTAATGACGTAAGCAGTTTATATTTCACTTTGGTTTTATTTACTGGTGTGTGTGTGGTGTGATTGGGGGCGTGCTCCATGTGTGCCACTGTGAGCATGTGGAGGTCAAAGACAGCTTGTTGAGTTATCTCTCCCTCCACCTTTCCATGGGTACCAGGGATTGAGCTCAAGGCTCTTGGACTTGTCCAGCTTGAGAATTTTTACATGAAGCTTTGCACAGCCTTAGTGCAGTTTAGAAAGTGCTTAGTGGGTGAAGTAGGTATAGTGAGACGCCACGGGGAGATGCACTTTTGGAGAGATTTCTGGGGATACATTTTAATATGTATAATAAGTTGTTTTAAAGGAATAATTTTTTTCTTCCTTTTTCTTTTAAATTATTTATTAACCACATACTTAGAAGAACCATTACAACAGCATTGACATATTCAATAACAATTTCCTGAGCTAAGATGCATCTCTTTCAAAATTGCCTGTAAATTTTTAGGTTTACAGTTGAATTATTACAGTTATACAATATTGTACTCAGTATAAACCCTGTAAGACATAAAATTAAATGAGGTTTTAACCTTTAAACAAGATCTTCATTTCATATTAAAAATACAGTTTCATACAGAAAAATTCATTTTTAATGCAACTGACATTAAGATGTTTGCAAATGCATTTCTAATCTCTATATATCTGATTATTACTAGTCACAGCTGGTTACTTTCTGAGCTTGGCATCTGAGCATTGATATGAAGTCATCAGGTAGAAGTCAGTGGTAATGTTTTTCACATCTAATTGTTAAGGAGCAATTTTTATGCTTTGAAGAATTATTTTTTTAATCATTTTTAAAACAATTTTAAAGATTTAACATATTCAGTAACATACTCCAGAGCAAGAGTACATCTCTTTCACAAGTAGGTGCAAGTTTCTAGGTTCACAGTTGAGTTAATACAGTTATATATTATTGAACTCAGTATAAGCCCTGTAAGACGTAAAATTCGATGAGTTTTTAACCTTTAAAAAAGATTTCCATTTCATTTTAGAATATATTGTTCCTTGCAGAAAGACTCATTGTTTTTGCTACTAACACTGAGATGTTGGTGCATGCATCTCTAATCTGTATGCATCGGTTATTACTAGTCATAATCGGTTGCACTTGGATACTTGGCACCTGTGTATGTGTATAAAGTCATTGGGTAGGTTTCATTGGTAATGTTTATCACCTCTACTAATTAGCATGACATAAATTTCAATGCTTCATCCTCAAATATAATATGTTTTTAAAATTTGTTGATTTTCTGTGTGTGTGTGATCACACAGAACATCCCAAACCATCTTATTTGACTATACACCCACTTCCCAGATAGCACCCTCCCATAGCCTCCCTCCTCCCACTAGAGCCCTTATGCTCTGATATCTCTGCTGCTGTCTGCTGTGTTGTTGACACCCCCAGCCATTCCCCACTACTTGCCCTTCTGGTGAATCTAGTCAGCCTATCTAGAGGTCTTTGTTTTAGGAGGGTCAGCTGTTCCTCATCTAGCAGTAATCAGTTGTCAATATTCCTTTAGATAAGATTGGGGTCCATTGGTCATTTTCCCAGTTCTGTGCTGGGTTACTATCTGGGAATTGCTTTG